TTCTGTGGAGACTTTCATGTGAAAAAAGAGAGTACGAGCGACTTCTAATAAATGACGATTTTTGCGTTCAGCAACTCCATTTTGCTGAGGTGTATAAACACATGATGATTGATGAATAATACCCCTAGTAGATAGAAAGGAGCAAAAAAGTATTCTTTGGCATGATCACTTCTGAGAATTTTAATAAATGAAGTAAATTGATTTTGTATTTCAGCATAAAAGGTATAAAATATGGAGAATAATTCAAAATGATTTTTTTATAAAGTACAACCAAGTTACACGTGAAAAATCATCCACAAAAATAACAAAGTATCAATATCCAGACTTAGACAACATAGGGCAAGGACCCCAAACATCAGAGTGTATAACATCAAAAAGGGTTGCGGCACTTTTGTTTATCCTAGGGTTATAGAACACTCTATGGTGTTTTCCAAACTGACACGGCTCACACTCAAGGTGTGACATTGACCCTACACTAGGACACAACCTTTTCAAAATGGGAAAGGGAGGCTGACCAAGGCGACCATGTAACATGGGTAGAGATGAATCACTGGTACACGCAACAGGCTAAGAGACAGGAGTGGGGATATCATAGAGCATATACAAGCCACCTGATACATGTCCCCTACCAATAATCTATCTCGTCCCAAGATCCTAAAATATACAATTGAGTAGGAAAAAAGTAAACACCATAATTGAATGCATTAGTAACTTGACTAATAGATAAAAGATTAAAGGGAAAATGAGGAAGGCACAAGACAGAGGAGAGAGATAGATTTGTTGAGATGGGTAGTACCACTTCCAATAATAGGTGTAGTAGACCTGTTAGCTAAGGTAACCGAAGACAAATTAGGAGAAGGTGTAAATGAGGAGAGAATACCTATGTCACCCGTCATATGGTGGGTAGCACCAAAATCAATGACCTAGTTACTACTAGAAGTGGACAAACAGGCTATAGGATTACCTAACTAGGTTAATGTAGTGACAGTCGATGGGATGGATGACTGGGAGCAAGAATTTTGAGTGAGACGAGCATATTCTGTTGCAGAGATAGTAACCTATGATGGGGTGGGTAAGAGACTATCTTGAGTTACAACATGAGCAAACTTTTGAGTGCCTTGCATATTCAAGGGCTTGTCATGGAGCTTCCAACAATTCTTTTTTATGTGACCCTCAGCACCACAATGAAAGCAAGTATGAAGGCCATTACCACGATTGTTCCCGGTATCGCGACTTGTCCCTTTATTACCTTTAACATCACCAGGCTTCACGCTAGCTAGGGCTTCATGATCAACATTAGGATCCTTAAGGGTTTTTTTGTCCTTAAACACTCCTTGATCTTCCCCCTTACTAACTTTGAGAAGTCAAGCAAAGACATTTGTAAGAAAGGGAAATGTACTACCACTTGTTTTTCTTGTGCTTGCATCATCTTCACATTAGTAGGGACAGGAAACATAGCCATTTTTTCTTCAAAGGCTTGTTTTATCTCTGTATAATATTCGAGCAACGTCTTTTCTTGCATATTTGCTTGATAGATCTTCAATAACAACTCATGGGCATGAGACAAGTCTTGTTTACCAACATACAAGAACTCTAGATACTCCTATAACTCCTTGACGGTATCACAGTGACCAATCACATCATCCACGGACAAATCGAGAGTGTTCTAAATCTGATTAAAGAGCTTATCATCTTCCGTGAGCCATTTTTTTTAGTTTTATTATCACTTTCTGTTGCCTCAAGTGGATCCTCGATTAAATGGTTTCCTATATCAATGCTGGACACATATCGTTGGATAATCTGCTTCCATAGAATATAATTTCTTTTTCTGAATAACTTTCGATTAGTAATTTTGGTTGAGGAAGTGACAATTTCAATCACCATCTTCTTCCCGTCCTCTGCTATACTGTCTAGCAAATAACTCCCAACTCCATAGATTCAAAACAATCTCAACACCAAACAACCCAAGCAAACACATCAGCGTCCCAATCTCAAATAACCAGGATTCACAACAACTCCAAGCCAACACAAAAGGATAGCCAAAATGATTCACAACAACTCCAAGCAAACACAAAAGGATTCACAACTCCACGGTCACTGCGCCAAACAACAATAGAGAAGAGAGACTAGAACAAAATCAGCGTTTGCCAGAAAAAAAGAAACAAAGGTCGCTGGAGATAACGGAGGTTATCGGAGATAACAGAGGAACAAAGAACAACAAAGAACAGATTTAGACGTCGTCAGAAAAAGGGAAACTAAGGGCAAACGTCGTCGAAGAGAGAGAAACCATGGACAAAGACGTCACCAAAGATCGCCGGTCGTCAGAAAACAGAAACAAAGTAATGGGTTTAAGGTTTAAGGGTTCACACGTCGTCCAGGGGCTCTGATACCATGTTTCATTTTCTATTTTTTCTTCACTTTCAACAGTACAACCAAACTAAATATATACACACACTCAGCAATTACATATATACCTTTTACATATACATAGTTTCCAACAGTTGCCAAGGTGACTAAGAAGTGAACTCGATGAGAGAAATTCTGATGGACATGCAAAATTGGGTGCGAAGAAAGGACGAGAAAAAAGAAGAGTGGCAGAGGAACTTAACTGAGGAACCCAACTAAGACAGGTGGATGCACTGAACACGGCCTCACAGAGGACAAGGAGACCAAGGTGGGAACCAAGGTGGAGAAGGATTGAACCTAGGCGGGCAAGGGTGGAATCGTCATGACTTGGATGGCCGAAAACTAGAGCTGCCCCTTTTTTCCGATGAAGATCCTTATGGGTGGATCTCTCGAGTGGAGCGTTACTTCTCGATAAGTCAGATCCTGATGAGTACAAGGTTTTGTCGACGGCTCTTTGCATGGAAGGAGAAGCACTCCACTTGTACCAGTGGACAGAGTCGAGAACGATGGCGATGACATGGCCAATGTTCAAGGTCATGCTACTGCAGAGGTTTAGTGGGACACGAGAGGTTAGCCCCTTAGAGCTGTTGATGTCGATAAGGCAAGAAGGATCGATGCTAGATTTTCGTTGACGGTTTGAGGAGGTTGCAGTGCTAACACAAGGGGAGAGAAAAGACATCCTAACAGCAACTTTTCTAAACGGGTTAAAACCAAAGATCTGGGTAGAGATAAAGTTACAGCAACCCGATTTGTTAACTTGACCCAATTCATTAATCCAAGTGACCTTGCTGGCCCAATGCGTGGAAGAGAGGAATGTTGTGCTGGAACAAGCCCATGCAAACTTGGGCCAAATAGATATTTCTTATTCATTTAGACAGGACGAAAGTTTGAAAGCCCACTCTTCAAATAACCCATACAACTCACCCAGATTTGATAACCAAACCCACACCTTCTCCCAAATACAACTCCCACTCGAAGAATTCACATTATAAACCTTTTAAGTTTCCAGAATTAAAAAGAAGTCCTCACTGATTATATTCTATTCAATTATAGAAAAAAATCAATTACCCAGATCATCATCACGACAACAAACCATAAAAGTCGCAAAAGGACTCCATAATAATGATTTTCTAGAGTTAGAACAGAAAAAAAATCTGAGACAAACAAAGATTACAACCAATGAAAAAAAGATGCTATTATCATGTCACTTTGTCTATATATAGTTGTGCAATTAACGTGATAAAGAGGATGAAATTTTTAATTTAGAGAAATCATAAATGGATGCTTCAAAGTATTGTTACATATGAATGAGTTAAAAGAATGTTAATGATGAATAAAGGAAAAAGTTCATTAGTTCACTGAAAATACCTGGGTCCAATTTCCTTAACACGCCACTGCCTTTGACAAGTTTAACATGATAATGAGGATGAAATTCTCGATTTCGACCAATCATAAATGGATGCTTTGATGTATTGTTACATAGCAATAAGTTAAAAGAATGTTAATGATAAATAAAGGAAGAGGTTAATTAGCTCACCAAAATTCCAGCATGAGGGAAATCCCATTGGGTCCAATTTCCTTAACCCGCCACTGCCTTTAACAAGTTTATATTCTCCCCAACTGATCTACCCTACTACCAATTCATCTTTTTGGAATGTAAACTAATAAAACTGATCTTCACACAACAACGAGTAAATTAGACTTAGAACTCATACTAAATAATCATGCAACTCTCCACAACCCATATGTCTAACCATACTCCAACATTAACCACTAGCTTAACTTGATATCCAAATCTCTAACTTGATAACATCATATAAACTTAAATCCATTAAAAAAAAAAAAAAGAACAATTCATGAGGCGTCATAAAATTAAAACTAAATTCAAGAGTTACACTGTCCCAAAACTTTAACAAATTACTAAATGCTTGAACCAAGCATCTCAATAAAACCCTACCTTTCTAACATACTCAAGTCCAAGTGCAAGACTCCACATTTGGATACTAAAACAAGAGATGACAAAAATAGGATGAGAAAATATTACGACATACATATGCAAAATATACCAACAGCAAAAGAAAAATAACAGGATCTATAAGGTGTGATATTTTTCAGAAAAGAACAAAAAAGAACTTGGAAGACATCCTATTCTTGTACCATTAGAATGGCAAGAATGATATATGTACATTTACAAGATAAATGTTTGATTCAAGGTTGGACCATCATAAACAAATAATTTTCACTCAAACGTATGAAGGAGGACATTGGAAGCATCCTTCAACAAATATACAATAATTTCAAGAACTGATTAAAAATCATGAAAACAACTAGCAAATAGACTTATGAAATGGCCTTCGATTATAGCTCAAAGATACAAAAGACTTCATAACCAAAAGTTGATATGATTCTAATAAAGTCTACAAAATCAACAAAGAAAAACAAAAAAAAAAACAAAAAAAAAGTCTAATAACCAAAAAAAGACATTAAACCCAAGTCTAATAAAGAAGTCAAAAAAGTGAGAAAAATACTTTATCCTAGTTTTCTTGCCACTATGCACCTATGCACACAAAACGAAGAAAATCAGAGTAACTTACTAGTTTGTTGTTGCTTGTACAATTCACTGCAACTCGTTTCCCCATTAAGATGTTGGAACTTGAGGCACATAGAGTTTATTCATTCACAGAATCTCTACAATCTGTCCTTTGTACAAAGAATTCACACATTATTACAAAAAATAAAGTTGAAGAACAAAAATATGAATGCGAACACTTAAATTCCAAAGTAGAAATTATAAGAAAACAGCCGAGGATACAAAAATTGAAAATGCAAAGAATTAAAAAATCAATAGCCCACTTTTTTTCCCACCATATTGAAGTTGGAGCAATGGCACTTTTAAACCAATCTAGCTTTTTTAAGCAACTCTCACTATTATCCTTAGTACAAGATTCAATAGAAAACTTCAAATGAGCTATCTCATTGCCTAGATGCCTATAGGAGAAATAACAAGAAGATAGTCTACATAATCAAAAAAACAAAAAGAAGTCCAATAACCAAAAAAAGACATTAAACCTAAGTCTAATGAAGAAGTCAAAAGGTTGAGAAAAATGCTTTATCGTAGTTTTCTCGACACTATGCACCTATGCACACAAAAAGAAGAAAATCAGGGTAAATTACTAGATTGTTGTTGCTTGTACAGTTCACTGCAACTTGTTTCCCCATCAAGATGTTGAAACTTGAGGCACACAGTGTTTAGTCATTCACAGAATCTCTATAATATGTTCTTTATACAAGAACACCCCTCAACTACCTCTAGAAACTTGTATTACCCAATAAAAAATAATAGAGGTAGATGAGTCGATGAAGAATGAGTGTGCTAGATTTTTGGAAGCACTTGAGCCGATAAATGCAAGCCAAGGTCCAAGATTTGAAGAGTTTGATATTGAGAAAGATAAGGAAAAGGCAAGAAATAAAGAACCTCCAAAACTTGAACTAAAGCCTTTACCTTCTCACCTCAAATATGTGTATCTTGGTGAAGCAGAAACCTTCCCAGTGATCATCAATTCAAGGTTAAGTAAATTAGAAAAAGAACGGTTGATTCAGGTGCTTAGAGAACATAGATAAGCAATTGGATGGACTATTTCAGACATTAGAGGCATTTTTCCATCGTTTTGTATGCATAACATACTCATGGAAGATGATGTCAAGCCTAGGGTACAACCACAACGGAGATTGAATCCTTCTATGAAGGAAGTGGTGAGAAAGGAGGTGGTAAAACTTTTAGATGCGAGCATAATTTATCCTATTTCAGATAGTCCATGGGTAAGCCCGGTGCAAGTGGTTCCAAAGAAAGAAGGTATCATAGTGATAAAGAATGAAATCAATGAATTGATACCAACTAGGACAGTCATGGGTTGAAGGGTATGCATTGACTACTAGAAATTGAATGAAGCAACAAGGAATGATCATTTCCCACTTTCTTTCATCGATCAAATGTTGGAGAGATTGGCAGGGCATGCTTACTATTGTTTCTTGGATGGTTTTTCAGGTTATAATCAGATTGCCATTGCTTCTAAAGATCAAGAGAAAACAACATTCACTTGTCCCTATGGCACCTTTGCTTACAGAAGGATGCCATTCGGGTTGTGCAATGCACCGACCACATTTCAGCGATGCATGATGTCGATCTTTGGTGACATGGTGAAGCGGTTTATAGAAGTCTTCATGGATGACTTCTCTATTTTTGGTTCTTCTTTTGACAATTGTTTATCTAATCTTTCATTTGTTTTGCAACAATGTCAGGAGACGAATTTTGTGCTCAACTGGGAGAAATGCCATTTCATGGTACAGGAAGGAATAGTACTTGGTCACAGAATTTCAAAGGATGACATCGAAGTGGATCGGGTAAAAACAGAAGTGATTGAGAAGTTGCCACCACCTGCAAACGTTAAGGCAGTTTGAAGTTTCTTGGGGCATGCGGGTTCTATAGACGATTTATCAAGGATTTCTCTAAAATCTTTAAACCCCTCTGCAATTTACTGATTAAGGATAATCCTTTTGATTTTGATGATGAATGCATGCATGCTTTTCAAACTCTTAAGAAATTGTTAGTGTCTGCACCTATTATTGCATTTGACAAATTTCGTTCTTATTTGCTAGGTGCTAAGGTGATAGTCTACACGGATCATTTGACACTCAAGCATTTGTTGGCAAAGCAAGAAGCAAAACCTGGGCTGATAAGATGGATCCTATTACTTCAAGAGTTTGAGTTGTAGATCCGAGATAAAAAGGGGTCAAAAAATGTGGTGGCGGATCATTTATCAAGGATTGAACGACTAACCCAGGGAAGTGAAGAGGAAACCTAAATCAAGGAAACCTTCCCGGATGAGAAATTGATGAGAGTTGAAGAAGCACCTTGGTATGCAGATATTGCAAACTACTTGTCATCGAGAGTGCTCCCAAATAGCATGACCTTCTAGCAAAAGAGGAAGTTCTTCTCAGACTTGAAGTATTATTTTTAGGAAGAACCATTTCTGTATAAACACTGTGCTGATAAGATGATACATAAGTGTGTCCCAGAAGAGGAGATGGAGAGTATTCTACGACATTGCCATGAGAAGGAAGTGGGTGGTCATTTTGGAGGAACTAGGACAGCAGCCAAGGTCCTCCAATTTGGATTTTATTGGCCAACCCTATTCAAGGATGCCTTCCGGGTGATTCAAGAATGTGATCAATGTCAACGGAGTGGAAATATTTCAAGGAGAGATGAGATGCCATTGAATAACATCCTAGTTGTTGAACTGTTTGATGTGTGGGGAATTGACTTATGGGTCTTTTCCCAAATTCTTATGGGAATATGTACATTTTGGTGGTGGTGGATTATGTTTCGAAATGGGTGGAAGCAGTTGCATTGTCATCCAATAATGCCAGGGTGGTGGTTAACTTTGTGAGAAAGAACATTTTCTCAAGATTTGGGGTACCACAGGCAATCATCAGTGATAGGGGGTCTCATTTTTGCAATAGGCAATTAGACGCCTTGTTGGGAAAATATGGAGTGAAACATAGAGTGGCCATACCATACCATCCTCAGACCAACGGGCAAGTGGAGCTGTCGAACAGAGAGTTGAAAAGGATTTTAGAGAAGATAGTTAATGTATCCAAGAAAGATTGGTCATGGAAGTTAGATGATGCATTATGGGCATACTGTACTGCATTCAAGACTCTAATTGGTATGTCTCCATTTAGGTTGGTATATGGGAAGGCATGTCACTTGCCGGTGGAACTTGAGCATAAGGCATATTGGGCCGTGAAGCAGCTAAACATGGATTTACGAGTTGTTGGGGAACAAAGGATGCTGAAATTGAATGAACTTGACAAGTTCCGTCATGAAGCGTATGAGAATGCTCGGATATACAAAGAAAAGACCAAGAAGTGGCATGACAAGCATATCAAGAAGAAGAACTTTGAAGTGGGTCAGAAAGTGTTGTATAATTCTAGACTTAGGCTCTTCCCTGGAAAACTTAAGTCTAGATGGTCCGAACCTTTCTTAGTTACAATAGTTTACCCTTATTGGGTTTTGTATGTTTCACATTAAGAAAATGTCACATTTAAGGTCAATGGACAGAGATTGAAGCCATACATTGATGGGGTGATGAGTTGCAAGTCATTTCTCGTTCGACTTGACATTCCGACATGATGACTTGAGAAAGTCGAGCTTCCGACTATAAACAAGCACTTCTTGGGAGGCAACCTAGGTGTTTTCATTTGTTGTTTGTTTGTGTGTTGTTTTTGAATTTTTTAGTTGTTTTATGATTTAGAATAATTTTAATTTCTTGTGTTTTTACGTGTTTCAGGTGAATGATCAAATTAAGGTGAGAAGCAGAAAATTTCCAATTTTCGCCACGGCGATGTATGCTTTGCAAGAAAAAGGATTCGAAAAGTTTCAAACTTCGCCACGGCGAAGTTTGTTCTTCACCACGGCGAAGTTTGTTCTTCACCACGGCGAAGTTTGTTCTTCACCAAGGTGTTGTGCTCTCTGGAATTTTTCACCGTGGCGAGACAATTTCTTTGCCGCGGCATAGAAGGTACTGCAGAATTGAACTAAGGAAGGTTCGCCGCGGTGAAGAAATTTCTTCGCGCGGCGCTGTATACACTGGAATTTTTTGCCACAGTGAAGAAAATTTCTTCTCCGTGGCATCGACTGGGATTTGTCTATACACGAAGAACTTCGCTGTGGCGAAGTCTGTTTTCTATAAATATTCGAGTCATTTTTCGCTAAAAGTTTCAAAACACACCCAAGAGCCAAACACTTCTACCTTCAATCCAAAGCTTTTCCAGTGAATTTCCATCCCTATACCTCACTCCTTAACCCTCACAAACACTAAATCAACTCATTTTGGCAAAGATTTTTGCGAAATTTTGAAGAAAATTTTGGAAACCCTTTGTTTTAAAAAATTGGGGATCTTGCAATCTGGGCCAAAATTGGTGAGATTGGTGGTGCATTCATCTTGGGATTGGTAAGATTTCGAGTTCTCCATCCTTTAAATTGATCAATTTTGATTATTAGAGTGTTGAATTTGAGATATTGATTGATTGCATTGAGTTGTGATTTTTGGTGAAATTTTTGGTTTGATTTTGATTAAAGAAGTGTGAATTTTGATTTGTGTGGTGTTGAGGAAGTTGGGTTTTCGATTTGGGAGTGTTTTGTTTGAGTTTGGAAGAATAGAGAATTTGGGGGTGTAGGTGAAAAATTTCAAAACTTTGGTGTACATTCAGGAGTGCTTGTGGTCAGTAGTAAGGGCACTTAGCGTTGAATTATCGGGTTGAATTATTAGTTTGGGGGTACATTTGAGTATTCATAGTGAAAACCAAACATGCCGCTCAAAATGACTTCTCAGGGTAAAGGAAAAGGGAAACAAGTAGACAATAGGTTTGTTAGTGAAAAGGCTTGGCAACGTTATGAAGGTGCAATCAAAACAAAAGATAAGGGGTTTATTGCTGAGTGTGGATTGACCACTGTCTATGCAAAAGATTGGAGTCGAGGGAGAAAGTGGGACAGCTTCATGAGTGAACCCGAACATTTAGCCATAGAGTCAATAGTGCAAGAGTTTTATGCCAACTTTCCTGAGTGTAATCCTGGGCATTTATATGTGAGGGGTATTGATGTGCCAATCGATGCAAACGTGATCAATGATTTCTACGGACTGCCTCCAATTGACAGTGACGAGTATCTAGTATTTAAGAAGAGACAATTTAAGGAGGATGAGATTCTTAAGGTAATAGCTAAGCCGGATACCCCTGGGGAGATTTTGAAGAAGGGAAGAAAGAACATTAAGGGAACGAATTTGATCCCTATAGCTAGATTGTGGCAGTACTTTGTGTGTGCGAGGATGATGCCAGAGATGCATTATAGTACAGTGACTTTTGAGAAGGCATTGTTGCTTTATTCCAATGCCACCGGAAATAAAATGGAAGTGGGGAATATTATCATGACAAGTATATAGAATGCAGCCAAACCAGGGCGAGGGAGTTTCTGTTAGTGTATATTAGTGTATGCCTTAGAAAGTATTCATGTTGTCGGTTTCAGAGTATTTTGTCTTGTATCTATATATCATAAATAATAGAAGAAAGAGTTCTTCAATTCATATATATAAATTGCTTCCTTTATTTAGTCATGCATTTTAGTTCATTATTCACATAGTTCACTCAAAGCAAATTAAAAAGCTCTCTCCCAAGCCATGACTGTAACGCCCCACTTGAGGTACGTAGCTAATGTTTCTT